TATAATTTTCCAGAATACAAATTGTATTTGTATTTGCGCAGCCCTCAGAAAGCACGAAGCTGTTAATAGTATTCTTTCTACCTTACACTCCTCTCAGTTATTTTTGGGAGTTTCATTGATTTTTTTTCTCATCAAAAGCGAATTATTTACATTTATCTCGTAGAGCTTCGACAAGTTCCCTGTGCACTTTAAGATCAGGATGGTCGGAAGGTAACGAACACTGTCGAATATCGAATGAACGTTGAGAGAACGAGTACGCCATCGAGTAGTCTTCCATTTGAACATACACCAGACTAATGTCAGCGTATAATGAAGCCAAATGAGGATGATTTGGAGGGAGTACTTTTTCACGGATTTGAAGTGATTTTTCGTAAAACAAAAGTGCTTTCGGATACTGTTTCGTCATTTTATGCCAAGCACCAATATTGTTGTATGAATTAGCCAAATCAGGATGGTTTGGTGGAAGTGTTTTTTGACGGATTTGAAATGCTTTTTCATGAAATGGAAGTGCTTTCGAATACTCTCCCATATTATCATACATACAAGCCGTGTTGTTGTATGGACTAGCCAAACTGAGATGATTTTGAGGCAATGTCTTTTCCAGGATTTCAATCGTTTTTTTGAAAAAGAAACATGCTTTTGTATAAAACTTCATTTTCTCATAGATGGTGGCTATGTTATTGTATAGAGTAGCCAAATCGGGATGATGTTGAGGTAGTATCTTTTTCCTAATTTCAATCGATTTTTCGAGGAAGAAAAGTGCTTTTGAGTACTCTTTCGATTCCATATACAAACAACCGATACTATTGTACGAATCAGCCAAATCGGAATGATTGGAAGGAAGTGTTTTTTGCTGGATTTGAAGAGATTTTTCACAAAACGGAAGTGCCTTCGAGTACTCTCCCATTTTTTTATAGATATTAGCTATGAATGTGTATGAATTAAGACAGTGTTGATGCATTAGATCCTGTGTCTTTTCGAAAATTTCAATGGATTTTTCAAGAAAGAAAACTGCTTTGGAGTACTGTCTCATCTTCGCGTACACCACAGCGATGTTGCCGTATGACATAGCCAATGATGGATGATTTGGAGGCATTGTTTTTTGTTCGATTTGAAGTGTTTTTTCAGCGAAGGAAATTGCTTCTGAGTATCTTTCCATCTTTTGGTACACCATAGCGATGTTGTTGTATGAACTAGCCAAATTAGGATGATTTGAAGGAAGTGTTGTTTGTCGAATTTTAAGTGCTTTTTCGAAAAAAAGAAGAGCTTTTGAATACTCTCCTTTGTTGTCGTATACCATAGCGATGTTATTATATGCATTAGCCAAAAAAGAATGATTTGCAGGGAGCTGTTCTTCATAGATTTGTATGGATTTTTCGTGAAATGAAAATGCTTTCTCATACTCTCCTATGCCATTATACATCATAGCGATGTTGTTGTATAAAGTACCCAAATTCTGATGGTTCGGAGGCAATATTCTTTCATCGATTTTAAGTGCTTTATTGTACAACGACATAGCTTCTGTATATTGACATGTCGTAGTCTTTAACAAGCCTAAATGGTTGTACATACGTGCCTTTTCTGCATCAGTTAATGCTGTATCGAGCAGCATCTTGTAGTGTTGTTCGGCCATATCAAATTGGCCCATTATGACCAGTAGTTTGGCTAATTGATGCCACCTTGAATATTCACTTCGAATTTCGTATCTCATGTGTTCAGTTAATTTTTCTAACAGTTCATCATTGTCTGCTGTTAATTCTAATTGTACCTGCCAAAGCCTATTGTTCTCACTAAGTCGTGTGGTTTTGCAAATGCGAAAAATGGTATGCATTGAAAATAGTATTTCATCTTCTTCTTTGATATAGCTTAAATTGTGTAAATCGGCGAATGGAACAAGCGATTTTGATGTATCAATCGTTATTTCAAAAAAGATTCCAATCAAATCCGAGTGATATTGATTACTGTCAGCATATGCGAAAGACAAGTCATGATGTCTACTTGTGGATAAAAAGTTGTTGAATGATATAAGACCACCTATTGAATTTTGTAGTTTCTCAAAATCCGTATATGACATGCCTTGTCCTCGATAAACAGTGAAAAGCCGTGTCTTTCCAATTACATATTCCTCAGCATGCAATTGCTTAATTTGGTTATGTAGATCTCGTATAAAAAATCCCATCTTAATAATGCAATCAACGTCTTGTATACGCAAAGCATAATTCAGCATGCGATACAAGAAGGTCTCACGTGTATACCACCGAATAGGTGTTTCTTTGAAATAGTCTTGTTCGAATTCATTGATAAATTTCAATTGATATTCATTATCGGCATATTCTTCACGGAAGTACTGAGTCAGATCTTTTATCGATCTTTCATCATAATTCAAATCAAGGATAATTTCTTTTAGTAATTGAGTATACATAAACGATTGATCTAGTTGATGTAAGCTTTTATTTGGATCGGTATCATCAATTGAAACCATACTGACAGAGAGTTTATCTTCATCTCGACGACGTACAGCTATTTTCAATGATTCACAAATCGAACTAGCTTGACTGAAGATACCAATCACTTTGGGCCAATGTGTTATCCATTGTTCATGATATGGTATATCTTGGAAAAAAATGTAGATCGCTTCTAACTGTGGTATATCATGAATGTAAGGTATTGTACAACAAGCATAAGCATGTGAGATAATCAGAACTAATTTGAGATGATTCATATCTGTGATAAAATCGATACATTCGTCAGGATCAGTAAACTTTTCAATTGTATTAGCTATTCTTCTTATTTGCTTGATCGAATCAAGATAAACAGCACTAGTTTCATCGATGTCTGCATCGAGCCAAACGAGAATAAAATTTTGGATGAAATGATTATGTTGAACTGAAACCTGTTCTAGTATTGCTGCCATCTTATTGTCCATATTATATGGGTGAATTGAAAGTAACATGTGGATGAAAACGTCATACGAAACTCGCACCCACTTCTGCGTTAATGTTATTGTACAATCTTTTTGCAGTCGTTTCTATTGCGAATGTTTGTCATGTTTGTTCTTATTCGACGATTTCATCATGTAAACATTCTTTATTTAACAGTGGTAATGTATTTTAACGAAGTTTATATTTTCTGTTCCGGAGAAATTGATTAAAAAGTATTTTTCTCTGTTCTGTCATCGGTAACGCATAAAAAAGTATGAAGGGTGAGTTTCATTAGAAATATTCCAAGCTACTTACGACGATCGCTTCGAATGGGGCTTAATCCATTCATCATCAGGTAAGTTCGGAACAGAGCTGTCAGCTTGGCCTGCACCGGCCTGCTATCCTGCCAGGCCAGGCTACTAGGCCAGGCCGACTTTTTTGATTTTGGCCTGGCCTGCTTCTAGCCTGGAAATTCAAGACTAGGCCGCCAGGCCAGACCAGGCAAAACTATTTGGCCTGATCAATTTTTACTTGAGATGTTACACACAAAAACCAATATTTGTCTAGCCTTTGGTGGTCTGATAGAACATAGACTAGAAAAAAGAAATTTCTCAAAGCTGATTGTCAAAAGGTGCAGCAGGTTTTGTAAAATTCCTGAATTTTTTAGCTGTCCTTTTCTATTTTAAAAAATTTGTCGGTTCATAACTATGGCGTGAATTTCTGTTGCTTTTAGTGATATCGCCAAGCACAACGTCACGTTATCTAATAAAACTATTCTGTAAATTTTTAATCGATCTGCTGGTACATAATGACAGCAGAAAGAAAATGTCTTTTGGAAGGGATCTTCGATCTTACAAGGCCAACAACTTTTATTTAAATAGACTACTAGGCAAGAGTATAAATGGTAGAAAAATATATAAAATTCATATATTTTCTCTATTTGAAGTTATATACTCCATGGCTTTTATTAATTTGAGTTTATTTTTATCCTTCCTGTGTCTTGAATGGGTAACGTATAACAAAATTAAAATTACAATTAAACAAAAAGGTTCATGTTTAGACAATCGTAGTTAGTCAAATGTCCTGAGAAAATTGTGGAAGCGAGTCAAATGACATCAAACTGCTAAATCTTGCAATAAGTCTAGATCCAGTTGTGGCTCCTGGATCAGTTTCTATAACAGTAACTTTCTATACTATTCAAAATTTGACAAGTCCAGTAAAGGTTTGTATCTTTAAAAAAATCATTTAAGAAGAAATGAATAAACTTCAAATTTTTAAATACACATTTAGGCAACAGTGTCAATAAAAAAACAAGTTTTTACAATTTATGTTCCAGTTCCTTGCGTCTTTACTCGTTCATGTACATTGGATGATATTTGTACTTCTTGTAAACAATGTAATTGTCCATATGGAAAAGTAAGTATACATATAACATTGCGCAATTATTAATTACTTTTTTTTTATAGAGAGAATATACAAAGAATGTTTCAATGAAAATTAAACCTATATCATCGATACTTGCTGGAAATTGCCAAGCACAAATCGATATAGAAACTAATTTAAGAGGAAAATGTTGTGTTATAATTAATAATATATCTATAAAAGCAAATAAATGAATTGATTTAGTATACCTGGGCCTGTGATAATGCATGATCAAACAACTGAACTGACTTTGATCATTGAGTTCTTTTCAAATGAGCTGAACTGTTCAAACAGATCAGTTCTTGACATACGATAGCTACCAGTTTTATGAACCAGTTCTTTTCTGAGAACTGAAACAGCTAATGGAAAGAATTGATTACTACACCCACGTCTCGGAAAAGAATTGGTTCATAAAACTGTGTGCCATCACAGGCCTAATTACATCTTCTAGTGTGAAATTTTTTGTTATCATAAATTATTTATCTTTCGAATAAAGATATCGAAAACAAATAATTATAGACTTACAGCCTTTACTGATATACGATTTTACATTGGTAATACTTACCTAACGGAAACATACTTGATTGAAGTATTTTATATTTTTTTTGAATTGATTTTTGTGCAAAAATTATCATTCACTTGAATCAAAAACCGAATCTGTGCAAAACTTCAACTATGTGGATCATTTTTCATCTTTGTAATTTCAGTCTCATATAGAGAAAAATGTTCGAGAATGTCGAATCTGGCATAACTTCTGCTGTACCTATAAATGCGTAAAACAGTGGCGACAGCTAAAGATTTTCGACAAATATTTTTAAAAAAGGGTGTGGGTGTGGATAGAGAAAAGAAAGACCAACACGCACACCCTTCTTTGTAGAATGAGAGTAATAGAAATATTCTCTAGAAGTGGCCAGGACAAATGTTACGCAAGACTAATATGATTTCTTTTTTGCCTCTATTCGATTGATATGAATGTCAACATCTAATGATTGATTATGACTATTTCAAATATTCATTATTTCGAGCCATTTTATTTGTTTCGACAAAATATATAAGAAAGAAGTACCAACTAGTTATTTTTCTTTTAAAGATAATGCTTATTTGGTCGTAGTTGGCGGAATCTTTATCAAATAAATACAACCTAAGAGAAACAGTCAGAAACTTTTAAACAGATTTTTCACCAGTTTTTACGGAAAGTTATCGACAAATTCTTGGAAAATCGATTGTATTCAAGACAGGATAGAGATAAGAATTAATGTATACAATATCACTATTTATTCACCATATATGACTATGACAGAAGATCAATCCTGATTTATTTTTCAAATGTATAATTCTTCTCAGAGAACCCTCTAAAATATATTTACCACCAAGGTGTCACTGCATCTATTTCAATATTTCGCACAGATCATTTTCTACATGAATATCATTCAATATCTTTTGTTCCTTGTTTTCTAAAACAATTCATCATAACTTTGTACAAAAGAGCAGTTATACTATTTTCTGTGACTGTTTATTCTAATGGTTGCTATTATTGAATACGTCTTTTAAATGACAAAAATGAAATTTTACCTATGTTATTTTTTTATTAAAAGACGTTTTTCTGTTTTACTTTTCTACAAACAAATTTCGAAATAGCGCATAAAGATGTAGAGTTCTTCTTTCATGTTACGGACGAATTCGATCAAGAATATACTATGAAGACAGGGTGTGGGTGTGGGTGTGTGGGTGTGTGGGTGTGGGTGTCCTAGAATAGATTATCCATACCCACACCCACACCCACACCCCACACCCCACCTACCCACACTCACACCCACACCCACCCACCCACACCCTCTCTTGTGTAGACCATTATAGGGACACAATATCATTTCTCTGGCAATACGCGTCAAGCGCGAAAGATGAGTCACTCATGGGCGTCCTACGCGTGAGGCACAAGTGTTTTGTTGACTGCTCTCATTCAGTTTGTTCTTCTTCGTGCTAGATAAATAGCTGGTTGTTTGTGTTCGTCCTCCCATATTCTTGATGCGTTATCTATTGCATATCTTCAATGGATACCAAAACACATACCGACGACTCAGTTTCCATAGTCGATGGACTACGAGTTCCTAGACTCTTTGATGTCGATCTATTTCGTTCAGGTCTTCAGTACAAAGCACGATCCGATGATATTTTCATCGTAACCTATCCACGATCAGGTACTCATTGGATGTCAATTATTGTGTATACCCTATTGACTAACGGGCAACCGTTCGATGAAGATATGGGCGATTATTTGGCACGGATGATATTTATCGATCGATTTGGTAAAGATGCCGCAACAAATATGATTCGTCCCGGTGCAATTCAAACTCATTATCCATTTGATCGTATCCCATATAATCCGCAAGCCAAATATATCTGTGTGATTCGTCAACCGAAAGATGTTTGCGTTTCATGCTATCATATTTTGTCCGAGAATCCTGCATTTGGACTTTTTAATATTGACTTCGATATGTTCTTCGAGCTTTTCATTAGTGGCCAAACGCCCTACATTGATTATTTCAAACATTTACGTTTACTTTGGTCGCACAAAGACGATGACAATGTGTTACTCGTCTCGTATGAACAGATGAAGAAAGATCTTCGTGGTATCATTCGAAATGTGGCTCAATTTCTCGGCATCGATCTCAATGACAAGAATCAAGTTCTTGATCGTGTCGAAACATATTCATCCTTCGACTATATGAAGAAAAATTTTGACTCGAGCCGAAACGCCTTTCTTGCAAAACAGCTGCAAGGATCGCAACATCCGATGAATTTTATTCGCAAGGGAATTGTGGGCGATTGGTCATCGTGCATGAGCGACGAACAAAGTCAACGGTTGGATGCGATCTTGACTGAAAAGACTCGTGATATGCCAGGATTCGAGACATTTTGGTAGCCACAATCGAACATACAGAAACATGATAAAAAGTCAAGCGATTGACACGAACATATCATTTCTTGTATGCATACACTTTTCGCATTTGAAATCTAATGAATCACTTACAGTACTCAATATGGAAAATTGTAATTTATCACCATGGGGCAAAATCCAACTGTATTTAACACTCATAGCAAGAAAGAACGAGCGAAGATTCAAAAAAAAAAGCAGTAATTGATCGTTAGAGAGCGAGAGAAAATGGCGAAGTTTCATCAATATGACCGAGTTTCGTTTGCATCGCTGGCAATCCTAGTTGATTGGGTGTGGATGTGGGTGTCTCCTCCTCTTATATCCATACCCACACCCGTAGATGGAACTGGTAAACCGGCCGATCTGCAAAACTCCATTGACCGGCGGATGCGATCTACCGGCCGGCATACCGATTCCATCTATGCGCACACCCACATCCCACATCCCACACCCACATCCCACATTCACCCACACCCACACCCACACCCACACCCTATATCCACACCCCACCCACACCCACACCCCACACCCCACACCCACACCCACCCACACCCTTCACATACACAATCATTCTTTAAAAGCAATTTATATCAATAATTGTAATTTATTAGACTTCGCTAAAAAACAGACATAGATTCACATATTTGACTTTCCATTAGAGATTTTTTTTTGAGTAAATTTTCTTCTTTTGTAATAAGACAAGAAAAGATGAGAATCATTGCGTCAAATAATTAGTTGATTTATTTTCCAAGTTAAGATTTTTACCCATTGTAACTATGAAAAATATCGCATTACCTAGTTTGTTATAAAATAATTTAAGTCTTTCTTACAATGGATGTTCCACTTAGAATGATACATATATAGACTGAAATTCATAAGAACGAGTGACCCTAGTGAGAAATGCTTTTGATAAAAGTTTCAGCCCAATATGGCAAACCAAAAAGGACTGCACGCTTATTTATAGTCCATTTTAGGGTCTTCAAGAGAATCTTTATAAATATATTTTGAAATTATAGCTAATACATATACAATAAGAAAACAGAGAATCTTTCGAAAAAAACAGGGTAGTAGTAGGATGAAAATCTTCTAAAATAGTCTATTAAAATTTGGTCTTTTGTTTTTGAAAAGTCATACATATGCTGAGAGAAAAATATTTGCCACCCCTTTCTGTAAGAAAACTTAACGTCGATTATTGTTTGAAAAAAGAAAAAAAGAATTTTTAAGACAAATCCTTCTTCACAGATTGGAAATATAAATAGAATAGTGTCGGACAACTAATGTCCGAGCCAGCATTTAGGAGGCATAGGTATAGGCACAATATCTCGATAACGGTGACAGTGCTCTAGATGACAGAAAACTACCATCCTTACGATCGAATTTTCATAGATTCTTTTTACTCAATGGCATGCCATTCTTCGTCTTCCGCTTGTACTTTCATTTGTTAGACTGCGATCGGATCAGCGATTCTTTTTCTTTGTTAATTTAATCCTCAGAAGAAATATGTAGATAGTTGATCGTCATGAAGAATATAGTCTACACATTTCATTTAGCATAGATCTCAATGCTCACATAGAAACATTAGCATATGACTTCGATAATATTCATATTGAGCATGAAAATAAATGGAAGAATCAGACCTTGATAGAACGAGTGAAGTTTTTCTCGGCTTTATTGATTGATTAAACATGAGATTTTATTTAAATTTCTGAATCAAACTTAATTTTAATGCCAATATATTTCGGCATGACAGTCAATCCTTGTACTTGTCCACCAGCATTAACTTCAGGACCACCATCAATGAATGTAACATGTTGCATTAGTTTAGCTACAATAACTTTGAGTTCAAATCGTGCCAAATCTTGTCCAATACATTGTCGATGACCACTACCAAACGGAAGAAATGCATAAGGATTATGATTCTTGTCTTCATCTAAAAATCTTTCTGGATAGAATAATTCCGGATCGATCGACCAATATCGTGGATCTCTTGAAAGAATGCATACGGGAATAAATATTTGATCGTCTTTGTATAATTGAATGTCACTGTTTGGTAAACGATCATCCATAGTTAATGTTCGAGCCACTGCCTCAACAGGTGGAGAAAAACGTAAAATTTCTTTGATAGCACAATCTAAATAAATAAGTGAATCAAGACGATCTAATATCAAATCATGATGAAAGTTTTCCTTCATCAGTTCTGCCTTAATCTTCTGTTGTACTTCCGGATATTTACTGAGAAGATGAATCGACCATGCCAAGGCGGTAGATGTTGTTTCAAAACTAGCAGCAAGAAACAAGCATTTCTCCTAATATTTCACGTCGTATTAGACCTGTAAATAGAAACACAAATATTGCAACTCTTTAACTCTAATATACACAATCAAAATTGTGAGAAATCACTCTGATAGTTTTTGGCGCATTGAATTCGATAAAAGTTTTGTGTTTTTTTTTAATCAATTTAACTGCTGGATGTATGTTCGAAAGACTAGATCAACTTGCAATTACCTTTTTTCTCCTCTTCACTTTTTCTTTCTTCTGCTTGTTCATCTATTTGTAATGAAGCAACCAATGAAGCAATCAATGATGTTTTCTTTCGTTGGGCTCTCGATTCTGGAGTTTCAGTTAATTCTTGTTCTATCATTCGATATAAATATCTTTTGATTGTCGTTTGGATTCGTCGATATTTCGGACTTAATTTCATATAGGCTCTGAGGAGAAAATTTGGTAAATAGGCTCCTAATTGCATCATGGCGATATAGTTTCGTAATGCTTCTGTAAGCTCATTATTTTTTGTTCCACCAAGTGTATCGAAATCATAGTCAAAACCAATGAATCCAAAAATTTCTAATAGAAGATTTTGACATTGTTGTAAAATATCACAATGAATGTGATCCAAAGAACTTGAACACCAATTATTCAAAAGTTCATCTGTACAATTAATAATCAAATCGAAGTTTGAAAGAATTTTTCCATGACGAAATAAGGGCATTATGATCGAAGCATGTCGCTTGAATTTAGCACCTTTAATTCATAAAAAAATTTATATTCGTCGAATTAATCAAATAAATAGATCTGACCTTTCAGAGTAATGAAACCATCTGGTATAAAGACACCCAAAAGTTCCACTGCAAAATTACTTTGATCATAAATATATCGATGAGTAAGAATATATTTCACATCATCTATATCACCGACGATTATTGCATGTAAAAATCCGAGTTTAATCTCGTAAATATCACCAAGTTTATTTTTGAATGATGCATACACTTGTGGAAGAGAAGTTCCACGTAATAGTCCTGATTGAAATAAATTTCCAAATAAGAAATGTCCTGGTAAACTTGGAATTGAACGACGAGAAGTAAAATATTTGTGTTTTACATATAATACGAATAGACTGACAAAAACAAGCGTTAGTATAATAAACATCGTCAATATGTAATAGAATATCGACATCGATGCATTTATAAGAAGCCGTACTTATATACACGTGTTCGTTTATCTTTTCTTTTTCCTAACATACTAACAGAACATCAAAGTCCATGCTATCAACGTACATAGACGATATATTGCTATATAATTTGGAGATTGAAGGAGAATTACTATTTGCTAATCTCGTTCTTCTATTACTCATCGGTTCTATGATGTAGAACATACACCATGATTGACATTCAATAATTTTCGTATTTTGGATTTTAAAAAAAATTTCCTGAATGTTGCATGGGCCAAAGACGAATAGAATTTGATCAAAATTAGGAAAAGTCAAGTTCCATTCCTGTATAAATTTTCTTCTCATCATTTTTACGTTACACAAAATTCGATTTGTTTATGTCCAGGATTGATGAAAGATAGATGGTCAACGAGCTATCATCGAAATGAATATTTTTTTTCAACCAGAATTTTGTTAAAACAATATGTAGCTGATTGACAGTTATAGACATTATATACAGGGTCGGAAAGAATATTATTCAAGGGGGGTAACGATATAATCCCGAATAGAAGGTATGATAAATTTTATACCAAATGAAAGCCCGTGAAAAATGGGGTTTATTGATGTTAAATAGTAAGGGTTATGTAAACCTTTTAATATCGAACTTAAGAAACTTTCAGAAATTTTATACATTTTTGGGAGTAGAAAAGGAAAGTGCTAGTAATTCAAAAATGGAGTAAAATGTTTTTCTTGGATATTTTTACATAGTTCGATAGAGCTCGTCGAGCTCTACAAGACTGTATATACTAACAATTTTT